CCCCAAAACCCCAAAACCCCAAAACCCCAAAACCCCGATTATTTATTTTAGAGTTGAGAAGAAATGTTACTATCTTTGTAGTACTAGATATTCCGCTTGGCTTGGTAATTTTTAAGGTCGTATTCCTCAAGATTGCTGATGAATTTTGGCTCATCAATGTCCTCGCTTAACAGCTGGCTTATCTGACCTAGAGTTGTTTTTAGGTTAGGTAGTATTTGAGATATTGGAATAGAAAGATTTAGAAATACACCTACTGCTTTCTCACTCTTCCATATCAGAGTCTGGTAAGCGCTCTGATTCTGAAGGAGTGCGGGCCAAATACTTCTCAATATCTAGCCCAGGCTCTTTAAAGCTAACTGTGAAATATTTGTTTCGAACCAAGACTGGAGAATCACTAGAAGGTTAGAAATATTTGGATTACTCCTTAGTCTCTTCTCAGTTTAGTAGTGATTCTGATCCGGCCTTAATGTTCTGAATATCAATCTGCTTCACAGGAGTGATCTTGCTAAGACCTCGCCTGGTTACCTTCTGATAAGTCTCAATACCTCTATTAGTTGTTTTCTTGTCAAATTCTGGGGACATTATGATCTGTTTTTCAGTGTTTCTGCCAAACTCGCTTTGATGATTTTGCAAGTGTTCGGAATTATATTGCCTATCGAACTCCCGCTTGAATTCATATTTCTATATTAGATCAATGAGCCAAGCTGTACTAATTCATTCATGCTTTCACAATTCATGATCTTGTATCTGGAATGGAGATCAGAGAAGTCTTGCTTCGGAAGAAGGTTAATGAACATCTTCCCGTCCTTCATACACTTTTGTGAACTGTTCGTGTTCAAGGATCTCCTGTTTTCCAATATTTTCGGAAGATTCTTCTTGATAGCCCCCAGGAGACTACTTTTACTACTGGTGACGGATGCTTTCAGAGTCTTGGCTCTGATATGGTTATCACGGAGACTCTTCTGCTTGCGATTGGTAAAGCTGTAGTAGTTCTTCAGAGGCCCTTTACGGTCCTCAAAGACTCTTTTACGCTTAGTTGCTATACTGGTATTCAGGTCATGGATCTCTTTAATCTTATTTGAAACCTTCTCTTGCTGCTTGATAAAATTATGACGATTTGAGTAGGTAGGGAGAGCTCTAAATGGTGGTTACTATAATGATTACTTTGGGCCTTTTTCTCCTAAGAATGGAAAACCTTGCTATACTGGATCACATTCTGGTCTTTAACCTCCTTCATCTGCTGCTTCTCAATTTCTCTTTTCTCCTTAAGAAGGTTTATTTTAATTTTAAATTGGTTTTTGCGTTCGTAGTTTAGCGAGGAGATTGTTTGCCTTATTTCTTAGATTCACTAGAGATTTAGAAGAAAATACCTATCCATGTACCTCTTGTAGCTTCCTGTGTTGCTACTCCTGAATTTAGAGCTGGTGAATTCAGGTTTGGCTCTTTTTGTAGAGGTGATCTGTTTATTTGAAGAATTTATTTTTGTAGCAGGAGATTGATATTTATCTATATGATCTGTTAATAAAATCAAAAATCCCATGCTTTGCTTTGGATGTTAAGAAGATTACCTCTGCTCTTGGTGGTGGTGTCCCTCCTGGTTTTTATTTGAAGTCTATCACTTCCTAGAAGGTTAGTTTTATTCAATAGAATTGTGAAATTTTCATTTAATAATTTACTTCTAATTTCTGTTCAGCTTCCTCTCTTTACGACTCCTTGGTCTAAATTTTTGGTATAATAGCAGATAAAAATTAAAATTTTTGCAAGGAAACGACTGGGCTAAAACTTTCCACTCAGAATTAGGAGAAATCTATCAGCGAGAAATATTCTTCAGCTCTGTTTTAGCTTTATTTTGTATATTATTTAGTGGATTCTTAGCCTGGCTAATTGAATCTTTGGCATTCATAGTGCAATTTTAAATTATGCAATAACAGAACATCTCTAGTAAATTATAAAATTTTCGTTTAGAAAAAATCTGATAATTCTCTAAATTTTAAAGCAACAAACAAGTACTGTTAGATTAAATTACAAAATCTGGGTGGGGGTAATAATAAATAGTTATCGATACTAGGTGAGAGAATGAGTAAGGTCATCAGCTTGCTCTTTGTCCTCATCTATACATACCATCGAAAGTCTCTTGAATAGTAGCAATCTTCTTTAGGTGAACTTTGCTCCACATATGATTAATATAATTCAATTAATTATAAGACTCTAGGGGTTTTGGGGTTTTGGGGTTTTGGGGTTTTGGGG